CGTATTGCGTCTGATTGATGCACTCCACGTCGCATCCCATGCCACATCTCCACCCCGGCCGGAGGCACTTGCGCCCGTCACTGGAAATCTGTCAGCTAGTGCGTCTGTCGGCCGGATTTGAGGCGCAGGGGTCTCCGACTCATGCCCAAGAAAAACGAGTAACTTTGTGCACTGACTTCACGAAATGTGAACCCCAAAATGTGACCCGTCTACTCATGGGCTGTGATGCCAGCCATCTATCGATTTTTTGGGGGACGTGTGGACTACCCTCCGATCGGATAGGGCGTCGATCCAACCAAGTGTCGGAGACCAGGTTTGAAGGTTTTCTGGCCCCTCCCACTGCTGCCCAAGTCATTCACAAGCAGCAGCTGCTCGGTCCGACAAGTAGTCCGGTGGCAGGCGGCCACTGCACTTGTCGAAAATCAATCTTGACCTGACTGCACTGGAGGTACGTTGTCTTTGGTTTTGAAAAGATACAGTGCGTTTGCACCGGGAAGTTATGGCAGTACCACCGGCCTAGTATATGTTCAGCTCCGTGACTACAGTAAGTCGCAAGTTACCCTCTAGGTCGAACAGTGCGCGGAAGCAGCGGAGGCAAACTCTATTTTGACACTGGCGCGGCAACCGCACTGCCGTCTTCGCACTGCCACACAGCACTGCTTCTTCACACTGCCACACTGCACTGCCACACCGCGTTGAGTCCACTGACATTTGCGCTTTTTGCTGTGGTACCTACGCAACCTCAAGCATTTGACGGAGCTCCTGTTGAATGGCTGCATCTCTGTCCCCGCGCAACTCCTGCAGAAACTGGTGGACCTCATTGTACTTCTGCTGCAGAGCCGAATCTCTTCGCGTCCACGGGTGTGTATTGTTGAAGTGCAGCCACGTGGACCGAAGAAAGGTCATGCCTGACAACAGGCGCCACGTGTCTTCACGCATGCCGCGATTTTGCATTGGCAGCACTGAGGTCAGGTACGACCATTGTCGTTCCACGGCCACAGTTCCTGAGTGTATCTTCAAGTTTGCTCTTCGGAGAACTTGTCCGCAAAGGTGCCATTGAAGCAAACCCTCTTGCCTGCGCTTGCCCTGCAGACGCTGGTAGTGCAGGGCCAACTTGTGGTTCCATAGTGATGCACCTCCCAAGTGTGGTCTCTGGTACCACGCAGCCACTCTGCGGATTTCCCGTCGAAATTCCTTGCCGGAGGCGTACCCGTGTGGCTGTGGTGGAGAGTCCACAGTCCCAAGCCTGCAGGATGCAGCGAGACGAATTGCAGGACGCGGTAAGTAGCAATATTTATATTTATATACCTAGACCTCCCGTAAGACGTATGTTTTTAAGGCTCTTTAATTTTTTAGTCTGAAACTAAAAATCCAGAAATCAGAGTTCCTGCCGGACATACCCATATGTGGACGGACCTGGTAGAAAAGTTCTACAACCCTGCCACTCCCTGTTCCTTCCTTCCTTCCTTCCTTCCTTCCTTCATTTTAAAAAGTTCTACAACCGGTGCAAACTTCTCCTAGGTTTTCCCTTTCTGAACTCTTCCCCTTTTATGTGTTGTGTGCATCCTGTTTTCTCACAAATTCGAGTGTCTTTCGCACCAAAATCCTCTCATATTCACAACACAGTTGCTGAAGCCGTCCAAATGCCACGGGCAGTGCTTGGAATCTCCTTGTTCGTGGATACAAGCAGGAGACCCAAAAAATTTGGGAGACTAAAAAACGTTCAGCGAAGGGAGGTCCAGGTATATATATATATGTGATAACTTGTGTAGAGTATGCGTGTTCGCAACTGCCTGTAGGCACCTATGCTGACACAAGGCATAACTATCATATCTTCTGTAGAAACTGAAGGCATGGAGACTCTGGACTGGTGTAAATTAGGTAGAGCGACGCGCAGGAACTGGTCGCAACCAGCACTTTTGGCGATGTGAAAAACGAGTTTGACCTCGTCGAGGACGTCCTGCTCTTGCTCCGGTACTCTACACTTCTGGGCCGCTTGCAGCAACAGTGCTCTTCCTTTGCTGGATAGAGTTGGCACAGCGTCCTGCGTCTGCCGGTCATCCATTGGTGCATGGAGCCGCATGAGGAGTTGCATGTGGTCAAAGTCCCAATCTCTCCGATCTGCATGTCTGGCTGGCACGACGTTTCTGGCATTGATGACGTCGTGAAAGGGTTCTCCAGCGACTATGAAATCGACAGCACGTTCGCGAACATGGATGCTATCCGCGCCGGCTTTTTTGGAGCCGGCCGAAATGGTCAGCCGTTGCTGCTGAACTGTTCGCGTGACAAGATCGTAGATTAGCTGATGGTGCTTCCGTGGCTGCATCCTCCGGATTTGTCTGGTCGGGTATCGTCTGCGTTCTTGTTTTTAATCCAAAGGTCGGAGCTTGACCCCTTCTCTTTCCCGACTCAGTTCACAAGTCTCGAAATCGAACTTTCTCGAATCAAACTGGGTAGAAACCAAACATATATCATATACGGTTAGCTTATGCGTGCACCGCCCTACTGCCTCATTATCTATCCATCGTTTGGAGGAAAAACTGCACATTGTTTCGACAAAGACTGCCGTTTCACACGGCCGGTGACTTTCAGCTTTGCACTGCACATGCATATGGATCGTTTGCGCGACTTCGTCCGAAAACTCTGCTTTTTGAACAGACACAATTTTAGATCTCAGGATGCGGATTGAATGTCCTGCAGCTGGTGCTTGGGTCCAGCTGCTTTCCTGGATGCATCCGCCAAGGTGTTCTGGTCAGGTGCTACTTGCTGCAAGTGCTGAAGCAATGCCAGAGTTGCCCTTCAGGTGTGTCTGCCACTATCTCTTTCTTTATTTTGGCCCAGAGCAAGGTCTCGGACTGTTTGGTGGCAAACACATTGTTCTGAAAAAACACGTTTTACACACTGCTGCGTTGCACACTTTGCAGAGAGCACGGTCAAGTTCTCACCACGCATTGGTTAAAAAAACGAGAAACATACTTGGCGTTTCGTCCGACAACAATGCCTTGCTTTTAAGGCAGCAATATTTGGGAACACTGCTCAGTACGCAGGTGCAATCTCCTCCAGTCTGGTCACCGTCACCTGCTCCTTGCTGCACGTCCTGCCAAAGATGCCAAAAGCTAGCCACAAGCCACAAGACTAAAAACGATTTTCTTCGTTGTTCCTCCAACACACGGTCTGAAATTGACTCCCATTCTTTTTGAAAACTGTGTTGTTTGGGAACCCTTTTCAGCATGCAGGTAGAATGTCCTCCATCTGCTGCATCAAAGCAGGCGTGCGCCGTGGGGCGGGCCGGCGCTCCCCATCCCAGCAGAACTGCATCTAGAGCCAAAAGAATTATTTGGCACACAGACCTATACCAGACATGATCATGAAGCTTTGCTGCAGGCGAAGCCCCAAGCTGAGAGGTTCTTCTTCCAATGCCTCATGTGCGACCGCCCTTTTTTGTGTGTGTGTGCCCAACTCAAAGTTTTCCGCAGACTGGTCAGGCCTGCACTGATCCGTTGGGACGTCCATCATTCCCGTGGTCATGGCTGGCACCGCATCTTGTCCTCATCACAGCAGTGGTCATCAAAGGATCAAAGGCGCCGGGGACACGGCGCGCGAATCCTGCAATCCATGCGCCCAGTGGGTTTTTGGCGCCTTGGTGGGACAACAGAGGGAGGTTTGGGAGAAGTTCACTCTTCGATTTCGAAATTCAATATTCAATGTTGTGTTCGTTGGAAGTGGGTGGCCGAGAGATTCCCGCGAAAAAGGCTCTCGTGAGTTTGCGAGACAGCTGAAATGATCAAGTACATTCAAATAAGTGCCAAATTGGATTGCTATTGCTTCGCGGCAAAACGTTGTTTCCTTAAACGATTAGTCTCACTTGATCAACCAATGATAAAACATGAGAAAGCTATGCCTTCCAGTTCTACTTTGAACTTGATGGCAGGCAGGCAGGGAACATGTCGCTGTTTCTCAACAGCGAGGTCACAGTACATATTGAAGTAGTTGCGCAATCGGGAACACCCAATCGTAAGTTGGCAAAAAACCAGTCTCGGTTTAAGGCCACCGTTCACAAATTCATTGCCAAGTGTCCATATGAAAGTGCTTCTGGGACACCTGATCGACTTCCCATGGCACCTAGTCCATGGCCATGGCATTCCGGGCTCAACCTCGCCCCGCCACTCTGAGCCCAGAGCATATTCGCAAGCGCTTCACACGCGGTGGTTGAAATGAGCGGAATCCCGTAGCCTTCAACGCCTCTATACATTTCCAGGCCCTTAAAAGTGAAGGTACCTTTTTTGAACCTACCATGGAATCTGCACTACCACTTACGAACACACAGCGTTAGATTAAAACAATCACATGAAGTTATCATCAGAAAACTGCCCTGAATCACCGTGAATTGCCGTGAAAAGGCCCTACAGAGCTTGTATCAAAGCTCTGAAGCTCCGCGTCTTCGGAGCTTCGCATCTTCGGTTGAAGCTCTGAAGCTTTGCGTCTTCGGCGGAAAAATCGGGGACCGCACTGCCGACGCAATCTATATATAATATATATGATATGGTTTCGATCTCTTTCACTTCTTCTTTGTAGAAGAAAAAGCCTCTCTTCTATGCCAGAATTGGGAGAGAAGCTGGGTCTCCCTCAGCAGTTTTCACGGCAATGTTTTGCAGTGAGAAGTTGGCACATTGACTGGCACATTGCTGTCACGCCTGCAGTCTCTGTAAACTGCTTGAGACATGGGCGCTGCACACGGGCGGAGAACGACAACACCCACCGTGCTGTCGACGCAACGGTCCGACCGCACTACGGGACTGAGGAGTGGGCATGACGAGCCCACGCCTGTGATGAACCGAGAATGGCCACATCCCAAGGATCCCAATAGTTACATAGACATCATAGACGCTTGATTACTAAACACCACATATGAAGAGGCTTTTCAATCTAAATGGGGGGAGTTATGGTCCTCAAGAGTCTACATTGGACTTTCCATGGCTTCCACCTCCGCGCCCAGGCTCTGAAGTATTGTGTCGATCAATGATTCGAAGGGCCTCATCGGCGAAGAGGTTGGTGGAGTACCTAGTGGATGGCACCGGAACTCTCAACTACCCTGACTCAAACATTGCTGGTACAACCGGAAAAATAAAACACGAAAATCCCATCAACTCTTTTTTCCCAATGGATTTCGGAAGGAAGAAAACACCCCCCAAAAATACATCCAGCCGTTCCAATTCTTTCTCAAGAGCTTGCGGTCGATGTCCCTCCCCAATTTCCCTGGTACCCACGCTGGAATCCTTTCCAAACCGCCCACTCCTCCGGCCTCGTTCTCTCGAACCCCTGCCCCGACGCATCGATGGGCACTGATCTGTATCCTCCCAGGCCAGCGTGGTGCAGCCAGGACCACAGCGCGGCTGAGCCTCCTCGTGAGCTGAAGAGGGACAAAACTCACACCAGTCACACCAGTCAAGGAACTCACAGATTCCCTTGGGCTCCATCATCTGTTTGGCATTGTTGGTCGAGCTCTCATGATTCTTCCATGGTCAACAAAGACCACCGACGGTAGGTCCTCACACCACCTTCATATGACACATGCAAGCCGCGCAAATCACATATCGACTTTTCAAGAGAAGTGAAGACAACCTTGTCCAATGGCACCACACCAAAAATTGACAACAATTCAGAAACGTCGGCAGGTGAAATGGCAATTGTTCATTACAACATGGGCTTAGTCTTAGTAGCGGCTACTACAGATATCTAAGCCACCAGTCCATATATCGATGACAAAACCTTAAAAGCATACCAACCCAGCAATCGGAGAACTGCATCTACCAAGAAGCTGATGCAAATGCCCCGAAAGCCTCTGGTTTTTACATGTTTTTACTATATAGGCAAATAGAATGTCCTGTGATTTAAAGCTGCTGCGATCTTCTGTTCAAGCAACCCCCCCAAAAACATTTGTGGGCCAATGTCCGCCGCTTGTCTGCGTTTGCTCGGGTCCCGGTGCAAGTCAAAGCCGCCATCTTTGGTATGCTTAAAATAGTCCTGCAAGCGGTTCCACGGTTTGAGGACCATGTGACCCACATGGACATCTTGGTGGTCGACTCGTCTATGCCCGGACGATCGATTCTTCACCTTTATTGGTGGCTATCCGGTCATGAAGCTTGGAACTTGGTAATTACAAAGGGAATCCATGAGTCAGATCGGAGATTCAATGCAGTTGCGGCAGTTGCGCATGTTCAAAGTAATCATGCAGCAAATGGCAAATGCCATGCAAATACTCAAGCGCACTGGTTAGCAGGCCCTGTGCCCGTCTAGCTCGGCGTTTGGTCTCCGTCTACTCCACACGGGGTCAACGAGTCACGGAGATCGACGCGGACCGCTGCGCGCCGATCGCTTCCTCCGATCCCTCGTAGAAGCCGTAGAAGGACTCGAAGCCTCTGAATGTCGGTGTGTACTCTGTCCTCAGATCGAGGAGGGCTCAGTGAGGCAACGGTGGTAGCAGGACATCAGTATGAAACGGCGGGTCATGAGGCATGGTCTTGAGCATGTTGTGTATGGTGCCGTATGTTTCGATAGCGTTAGGCAACTGTGGCCGCCTAGAAATTCCCCCTCATGGTCATTTGTGAAACCTAGTCGGGTTAGACTTGATGTTCCCTGCTTTTTATACACTAGAACTTTAGTTCGTGAGAACGTCTGGATATGTTTGACGACCCATCGAAAGTTCTTGGCTAAAACCCGGATGGACCTGGATTTAACTGGCAATAACTGAGCCCGAGGTTCTGTTTAAGCAAGATGCTGGTAGGTTTTACCTTCTTTAATACGGATTGGTACGGTATCTACCGTAAGTGTTGGTTGGACCAAATCATGAACGAAATGGCTAACTTGGAAGGGCGAATGCGGTCTCCTGCATTTGCCATTGTTTCTGTTTTTGGAAGACATCAACAGCCTCCCCGGACATGGGCCCGTCTGCCTCGTGTATATTGTGTTTTTTATTTGGATGATCCATTTTGGACACCCCATTTGGATTGACGGAGCGGGCATCCGATCTTTGCCCGTACTAGTGAGATAGGATTCATGAATGAAGAGCCTACATGACTGGGGATCAACTTTCCTTCATGTTCTGCTAGCAAGTGTCCTGAAGAATCCCAAGTGCCACTTGCCCACGGCGTGGCACTTGTAGCCTGCCGAACCTGAGGCGCCGTAGGTTCGTGGTAACAGCTCACAGGTGGACCGCCTTGTCGGCCTTCCCAGTCCAACGCACTGGGACCACCGCGCCCACGAACGCGTTGTTGTTGACACGACGCGCCCAACCGACTCGTCACGAGATACGGTCAGACTCGTCACGAACCTGCCGAGCCGGTCAGAAGGCCAAAAGCTGCCGAGGAGCCAAGCAGTTGTGGCAAGGTGGTTTCATCCAGTGGCAATCCATAGGCCTTGTTGGGGATCCAATCGTTGATGCCTTCGAACAGCGTGGCGGTGCCATTCTGCTCTGAAGAAAACAAACGAACTAAGTGGTTTTCGCCGTGGTGACCTGGAATAAAGCTACCGTGGCGCCCTCCAGTGGCGCGACATATTGGCCTCACATATCCCAAACACCACTCATGGGACTGCCATAGATGCCACCCCCATGGACACCCCGCCGGCACCACCACCCCAACTGATGGGCACTCTGCTGGGCAGTCATGGAGTGTCTGGGTATAGGATGGGTGTCGATGTGTATTCAAATTGGGAGACCGACTCCAGGCGTTCTGACCCCCTGGAAGGTTCGGGACATGGACCAGTCTACCCACCCAGGGCCAGGCCTCCCATTGACACCCCCCACACCACGGCCTGTGTGCAGGGGCATCCGGCCACTCATGAAGGTGGCCCTGCTGGGGGAGCAGGATGGCTGGACGTAGTACTGATCCAGTGTGATGCCCTGCTGGTGAAACATGTCCCTGAGCGAGCTAAGCGAGCGGATGGCGGCGTGGTGACGTGTGAACGCAAGATGCTCTTCTAAAAATAGTCTTGGCATTACACCCCGACGAACACTTTCACCTGGAAGGTTCGTAAAGGAAAGTAGTCTTCCAGGGGACCATTTTCCACTTCCATGTTAGTGAGCCAGAGTGTATGTGACACATTCATTTGCCAACACTCCACAGCCTGTGGGCACAACGCTGGCGGGAAAGGCAGTCGGACAACGTTGGAACAAATGTCTGGTCAAGCACAGATCCAAACAATGCCTGATCACCCCCCTCCACAACGCCAGCATGAACATCTCACTAGACTAGGAGCTACTTTCCATTCTGTCTGAACAATTCTTACCGAATTTCCGCCAACATCATTTCCGACAAGCCTTGAAACCCTCTTACAGACTGTAGGTCTTGGATTCACCCAACCCAAGTCCAACTCAGCCCCACAGCTCGGTCTTGCCAAGTGGCAGGGCCGGTGTGTGAATCTGATGGTTTCGAAAACCAGGATCATCCCAACCGAAGTCGTCGATCCTGGGCGGACGGAACGGGCTCTACCGACGGCTGGCCGTCGAATGGTGCGAGCGGTTCCGCCATGCTGAGAGGTGAAATTCCAAGCCCTTGGAGCAATTGGCAACAGCTTGGACCGTATGAGAATGCCTTGAAACCCTTCCATGGCCCTGTGTCTTTCTAGCCTGAAAATTGATGTAAGGACTCCTTGACATTCTTCGCAGCTTGCAATGGGCAAACTCCGTAGGTGCTGTAGGTTTGTGTTCAGCTTGATTCATTCTGGCATACCAGTACCAGGATCATCCACACCAAACAAAGTGGTTCTTCTTTCTTCTTCCGGACATCCATAAGCCTGGCCCGAGTGCAAGACCGTCACAGTCTGCACTATCTTGGACCGCCCCAGAATTCCAAGCAAAGAATGACAGGATGTAGCTATAAAAAGGGTCTTGCAGGCAAGGTTCACATGGAAGATGATATGAGGCTTAGCAGGCTTAGCTGCTACTCCAAAAGCAAAGGTAGCCAATGCCAGTCTCATCAAAAGGACTGAACATTCGCCATGTAACATGCTGCGCATGTGCAAACAAAACTGCTCAAGAGCCCAAAAGGCTAGCAACGACACGCCCCTTGTTTGTGAGTCCTTCGAAGCCCAGAAAGCTTTGAAGCCATCGGCTGCACCCCATGGCACCCCAACGGCCCAACGAAGCAGCCGATGGCTTTCAGACTGTTCGTTGCTGGGCCACCGTTGTTGTGAGACATATATGCGCACGCGCCCACACACACACACACCGTTGCTCAGCTATGCTCTGCCGTCTTCTGTTCTTTTCCGTGTGCGGCCGTGAGGCTTCCAAAGTGTGGAAACGGTACAGCTCATGTTTCCTTTGTGATTCTGGTCGGGGAGGAAAGGGCAAACACAAGTCAACGCCACTGGTCCGTGCCTTGGTCCACGCTGACCGGTGATACATTGCCCTGCTGCAGTGCCTCCTCCATCCACAGGGTAAAGCCAAAAAGCATCAAAAAGCGCTATCAAACACAACCACCAAATGGAACCTGGCAACTTGGTCGTCATTCTCCCATTCATGCATTCGAGCATGAACTTTCTAAACAAACAAAGGTCTAAAAGAGTCTTTGCGAACAAGAAGCTACTATGGAACAAGTGCATCGCTTCTAGTAACAAGTGCCTTACTAGCTGTTGGAAACAAGTGTGGTTTGCCGTCGAGGCCATGTACCCATCTCCTGAGCTTCCGCCGCCACAAACTCGCGAGAAGCCTCAGGGATCTGGCCACCATGGAGCCACCGCTGTGGACTTGCAGAAAGACCAACCAGTTTTGTCTGAAATGGTCTGCACTCAAGAAGCCCATCAAATGCAATTCAGGCCTCGGGAGGTCTCTCTTCATTCAAACTGCACATGGTGTTAACTGGCCACATGATCAGACTGTGCAGGCTTTGAAGGCCCAAGAAGCTGTTCACATCGGCTAGGTGCCAAGTCCCTTTCTGGTCCTCCCATGTGCAAGGCCAACATCCACCCGAGACCGAACATCCACCCGTTCGGTTCGTCCAAGTGAACTCGCAGCTGAATCCAACGAACCGAACGACGCCCCGAAGCGTTTTGCGGCCCAACGACCGGGTAGCCTGCTACGTGCTTGGTGACACACGTGCGGCACGTGTGGGGCCTGCTGCAGCGACGACTCACCCCGTCCTGACAGGCAGAGAGCTGAACCTGCTTGTTGTAATTGTCCTGGCAAGGCACGCGACGACGCGACGACGGGACGACGGCACGACGTCCGACGGTCCGACAGCAACCCGCAGCAGTGACTCGGAAGGAACGAGCAGTTTGTTTTTTCTCTCCAGCTAAGCACAGATCAAGGGAAAAGTTATGGGCATGGTATAATAAGTAAATTGATCAAATAAGGGAGCATCAGTTTCGGCGATCCTAGGCAAACTTGTGATCTTCAAGACTCATATTGTCGACCAATGGGCAACTGGAGCTTCTTCTCTTAGGACATTTGGCTCAAAAAATGCAGTAGATCCCAGCCCTTTGAGGAACACATTGGGAACACATGTTCATCACCCCATTTCAGGAAACGTGGCACAGAGGAGTCAACCCAGCGGAGTCTTGAAACAAACACACACAATGCCCCCACTGTCGCAGCGCAGCCGAGCGCAGCCTTCGAACTCGCAGCCGGTGTTGTTTCGACCTGCCGTTTCACCCGGGTCTCCTCCCCCATTCAATTCATTCACCTCACCAGGCCCCCCCATCCCGAGCCCCAAAAGGGCCCCCCCCACCAGGTGATAGACGCAGAAGCCGGCGCGCTGCAACTGATCCGCGGTGTCCACCAGGTCCAGGTCCGCGGCACGAGCACCGGCCATGACCTGGCGATGATCGACGCGACCACAAAGCGATCACAGCGACCTGCAAGGACCACAAGGGCAAACAAGGGCAATTACTGGTCGAACCGTCAATTCTCGGGGGTCCATTGTGATTCTATGTTACTCTGCGGGAGGGGTCATGTTGTGATCGAAAGGAACTCCAATTCCGATCTGTCGACTGCGCCAAAAACCGTTGCGCGAACTGTGGGAAAGACTTGAATCCGAATGACATCAATGTCTAAATTTGGATTCGAGAGTCGTGCTTAACATGTCTCAATATCAAGCAAAAGGCCATAAGAGGCCATGCCTCAAACAAACATCCTCAAACTCTCCAAGTCCCTTAGCATCATTCCTAAGACCACTGATGTTCTTTCGCAACCACTGCTGCGTTGCGTCCTGCCGTCACCTGCCAATCGCCTGCAGTGGGGCACTGGAGAGTTGACAGACTTGCCGAAAGAAGTCGTCCGCGTTCCGCACTCCCGCGCACATGCCGTGCTTCTCCCACTCGTGGCGCTGGAACCTCTGCAGGGCGGGCGCAGCGACCCGAAGAAGCGTGGCGACGAAGCTTGGGATCGAGAACATCTGGAATGCAGCAACCCGAAGAATCAGCAGACGTCTAAGGGTCATTATATGTGCATAAAGGAAAATACAACAATTGAATACAGTTATTATTGTTGTGTATCTGTCTAAAAGAGGGCTTCTGAGAGAAACATGTTGCATCATGGCATGTTTGCTGAACATTCGGATTCCATCTACCCTGCCCCGAGTTCTGAGCTCGAGGAACCAAAGCGCCGAAGAAGCAGAGCCCTGTGTGTCGAAGCCTCGGTTCAACCATCATGAACAAAGTCAAAAACAGGAGTGACCCCAAAATAGGTCGAAAAGGGAACCATAGGGAATCCAAGGGGATTCTTTCACTTCACTGTCACTAGGGCGCAAAGCAGTCAACCGCAGCGCCTGCGCAGAAGAATTCTTGAATTCAACGGCGTGCAATTTTTTGGTGAAATCGGGTCCAAACACGGCTGGGGAATCCACAAGAAAATCCAAAATATCTTCAATGTTGTTTTTCAATACCACACTCTCCTAGAAGAAGCGTGCTGTCCTATCGGTTTGGAGTTGAATTTGTAAAAAGTCTAGGGCCTAGGGTTTAGGCTTCAAAAAGCGGCGTGCTGTCCTAGTTGGGAGTTGAACATGCGAAACAACAATTGGGGTTTAAGGTTCAACGAAAGGAACGGCATGCTGGAGTTGAATTTGTGAAGAGTTTGGGGTTTAGCGTTCAAAGAAAAGAGCAGCGTGCGGTGTTTTACTGTTGTAGCGGCTCTTGGAATGTTTCGCTTTGATTGTGCTTTACAGCGATCAAAGCATAAACTTCAATGAAGCCCAAACCCGAGTTTAAGGCAAACAAGCTATAAGACCGTTTAGGGGTCAAAGGAAAAAGGATGCTGTGCTATCGCTTTGGAGTTGAATTTGTGAAGCGGGTTTGGGGTTCAAAGGAAAGAGCAGCATGTTGTCCTATCGGTTTGGAGTTGAATTTCTGAAACATCTAGGGCTTAGATGGGTTTAGGATTGGTTTCGGGTTCAATCCCAAGGGGAATTCGGAAACGGCCAGGTTCCTTCCAGTCCTGCCCGACTGCGCCCGAAATCGAGACGCAACCGATCCACACCAACCTCCGGTCCGCGGTGCATGGATAGATCTTCGCGGGGTCCGCCGAGCTGTCCGGCGCATCGCACCTCGGACCGGGCGGACCGGGGGGACTCCGGTCGGAGAGCGTGTTTTCAGGTTGAAGCCAAGGGCACAAAACTTCATGCATGTCAAGTTTGAAGCTTCGCGTGCCGCGTGCTTGTGCAAAGGTATCTAACCATCTAACCATCTAACCATTCCAACATCGAGGACCTGAAGCGGCACCAAACACCACGATGTGATCTTCCGAGCCACTCAAACACAGGGGATGACTCGCGAAGCTTCAAGTTAACAAGGCTGCAAACTCTTGGAAGCCTGGAGTTGTGCTAATAGCGACGGCCTCCAACCTACTGG